TTTTTTTTTTAAATCCACTCCACAATAAAGCCATCGAAAACCTAGTGAGTATTTTTTGAAGTACTCTTTCCTTCATGAATCCCTTTTCCAGTTTTGATGATGTAGGGTATCAAATGACCATTAATAATCAATTTCAGCCACTACTTCTTCCACATCCGTTTCTAATATTTTGCACTCCAGTGTAATCATATTTACATTAGTACATAGTACATCATCAATTACATGACATCTAAACACATGCACACAAAAACCCTACATACATACATATATACAACAGCTAGTGAGCATTCCATAATTCATGATCTATATACGGAATAATTCGTTTTGTCCATTTCCGCCGCCATTGCAGTAGTAGTTTTTCGGTGGCGTATTGTCTCTTCGTAAACCGCCATTGTGTGTCCGTGTAGTTGTTGTACAAAATTTTTAAAGCATGTCTTAACTGAAGTTCAAAATCGTGAATTTCCGACGCTTTAAAAATGAACTGCAATGTCAATAAATCATAGTAACGGCGAGTCAGAGTAACTATGTGTGTGTGAGAGAATGAAAAAAGAGTTGCGTATAATTTATGTTCTTCTGTATTCTCTATAAAGGCAAAAAAGTGTGGAGTTATGGCTAAAAATGTGTGGATGTGCGTTTGTATGTATGTCCCTCTCCCTCCCTCTCTCTCGTTATAAATTTATATGTGTTTGTTTTGGGGATTTCCTTGTATTGGTAGTGGCTTTTTAAGCTGATTTTAATTAGAAAATGATGCAAAGCTTTTGTGAGAAGAAAATGTGGGAGAAATTTTGTTGTGTGGGAATAAATATGAAACAATTTAAATTTTCTATAGATTTTTTTAATAATAGAAGTACAACATAATTACTCCTACTATAAGCCGAATTTATTTGGGTGAGGAATAATTGAATAGAGTGGAAAATAAATTAATTTCTGATAGAAAATTTTGATAACAAAAGACAAGTTGTTTACAATTATTTCTCCACACATAATAAATAGCTTAGGTTTCTTAAAGAGAAAAATCAAGGTTTTCAGAAGCATGGATTTTTAAATAATATTTTTTCGAAGCTTTAAAAAGGCCGAGGATTTTTAAAGAATATTTTTTGCAAGCGTGAATTTTTTAAAGAATATTTTGTCCAAGCCTTAAAGAAGGCGTTGATTTTTAAAGAGTATTTTTTAAGCCTTAAGGAAGGCGTGGATTTTTAAAGAATATTTTTTCCAAGCCCTAAAGAAGACCTGGATTTCTAAAGAATATTTTTTTCAAGCCTTGAGGAAGGCGTGGATTTCTAAAGAATATTTTTTCTAAGCCTTAAAGAAGGTATAGTTTTCTAAAGAATATTTAAATAAATCCATCCATTAAACTTGGTTTGTGGTAAAAAAGGCGATTTTCCAAAAATATGTTTTCAAAGGTTCATCATTTTGTTCATTTTTGAGCGAAGTCAATAATCCTAGTTCATACGAAAGCCAGACATGTACCCTTTCTAAAACCATTGGAATTTTCGGATTCCGATGTTTAATGCCATACAACAACAACAAAACATTTTTGTAAATTATTTTTTTTCCCTTAAATCTTAAAATATATATCTACAAAGTTACAAACCTCAACAAGCTTTGGTATTGATTTACCAGCCCATTTAAAATCTTGAAAGTTTAAATCTCAAATAGTTTACTTTCAAATATGTTTATAATCCACAATACACCAACAACTATTATTTCGAAAAGTGCAATATTTAACCGAAATACATTTCATATTTCATGCACCAAAACGGAAATGCACACAATAGATTATTGGATAACAAAACACAACAACCACATTCCATTGCGGCACGCACAAAATTAAGAACAACACCATCGCCATAAAACTGTGTTAATCACATTTTGAAAAATGACTCCAGAAAAACAAACAATGAACTATTAATTTTCCCACTGCCCCGCCGCTCAGCTAATAGCCAAAGTCAAAAGAATTGGATCAAAGGCAATATGAGAACATGGTAGCCAGCTATGCAATTCTGACCTAGTTCAGTTAGCTTGCATATTGTTGTAGATGGCAGCTGCCATCAAAAGAATGGCGAAAGATATTTCATAAAAACATAGAACTAAACTAAATTAAATGGCGCTTGAGAAAAACAGGAAATTGACCAAAAGATTGTTGCTTAGCAGCTTAAGGCGCAAAATAAATTGGAAAATGTTACTATTTTTTGCAGTTTATTATCTCAGAAGGCGCAGGAGGAAATGATGCTGTATGTTTAGAACAAAGGAAGTGTCAACAAGAGTAATAATCTGAAATCGAAAATATCTTAGAATAGCTTATATAATTGAATGCATTTGATGCAATTTTAAAAATAAGGAAAATTTCATCTGATTGGCAATGTTATATATTAGCAGGTGTATTATTAACTGACTTGGTATTATTGACTTGGCACCCAATGACTTACCTACATATAATTTTTTTTTTTTCAGTTGCATTCGCTATGCAAAATTTGGCTCAATCGGACAAAAAAGCTATATCTAAGTCTTAACCGATTTTAACAAAACTTCGCAGACATCGGTCTGGACTTAGTCCAGTACTCTGTGAAAAATTTTGTTCCAATCGAACAAATATTGGGAATTTGGTGTATCATTTACAAAAACATTGGACGAAACTATATAAATCTGAACCAATTTTAACAAAACTTCGCAGAAATCAGTCTGGACCTAATTCAGTACTATGTAATTCAGTTCACAAATCGACTCATATGCATGCATAGCGTATTAATATTCCCCCATGTTAAGATTCTGTTGAAAAACTTGCTCCAAATGCTTCAAAATACCGAATATTGGGGGTACAGTTATATGGAGCTACCTATATGTGCTACCTAAATTTTCCAACAGCGTACGAAATTGAGCCTAATATGACTTCTGGTAAATGGTGATCAAATACCCAATTTTTCCGATTGTCACAAATTATTGCGCAGCGTGGGAAATTGTGCCTAGAATGACGTTACCAAAGTTTTGTTAAGCTCTATACAAATTAACATATAGTTTGAATATATATTTTCAGACGATTTTATGCCTATTGTGGAACAAATAACTCATGTATGACTGATTATGCTGCAGGATACCGAATGACGGTTGTCAAATTGTAGCTCACTATCGGCCCAGATTTACATATATATAGCTCTCATATATCCCGCGAAAAACCATGTTTGCGTTTGGCATTCCTGCAAATTGATACGGCTATACAAGATAACCCTTACTTGCACAAGATAAGCAATTAAAATCGGAAAGGACATCTCGGAGCCCTTCAATACCGAACGAGGGTTCAGATAAGGTGATAGGCAATCTTTTGCCTAATTTAAAATCATACGAGATTCAAAAGATAAACAGGAATAACACTCTGTTACTCTCCTACACCGATGACATCGACATAAGGTGTCGAAAATTGTAATCGGTAACTGCCACCTTTGAACCGATTGAAAAGAAGTCTGCCAAAAAGAGTTATTGCCAGAACTGGCGAAACGACCAAGCTGATGGTATCAATGCGAAAGTCGTCTAGTCGACTCGGACCAACTGTGGAACTTGAAACTACAGCTTTGAAAAATAATAAAAAAAAATAATCAATTCAGACCAAGCTTACACTCTAAAATACGATGACACAATCCGTACTGGTATTAAATCTGAAGCATGGGTACTTCCGATGAGGTAGCTCTTGGAGTGTTTGAGAGAAAAATTCTCCGAAAAATCTATAGACCGATCTGTGTCGGCGGTGAATATTTGTAAACGGATATCCGCATAGTCACAAATATCGAGCTGCAGCAACTGTGTTTGAATGGATGAGGACGTGCCAACTCAAAATACATATTAAAGCGAGCCTATTGATGGTTCACGCAAAAGAGGAAGGCCAAGAATTCGATAGGAATATTTGAAGATAACATCTGAAACATGGCCTTCAAATGGGAAAAACTATGCACAACATCCACGTGCATGGAAATCTTTGTTAAGTTCGGTTTATGGAACAAATGTATAGATACGAGTCAATTAAGTAAGTAAGATCTCATATATGAGCGAGCCAAATTAGTAGAGAGAGGAGCAATTGTTAGGATTGGTTTAAATCGGTATATATATTAATGCAGGGTACAATTAAAATTTAGGAACCCCTCTCGTATGTTTCCGTAGCAGGTCCGATCCAACGTTGGTTGTTTACTATTTTATATTCTCCATCCGGTTTCAAAACCTCGAAATATTTATTTCCTACCCCATTTCCTCAGAATAAAATTCTATGTCGAATTACGCATGTCCAGCTGTCAGTCTGCTGAAATCAAAATCGAAATCGGTATTTCTGACTCTTAATATTTAATATAGAGTTGTAAAATTAAGCACATACATTGTTACTACTCTTAGAATGCTTGCTATCAAAAATTATATATTTCGGTTAACGTTTTTGTATAACCCACATCTGACGGAACTCTCCAAATATGTTTTAACCAAAATCTTCCTTCTAAAAATTATGGATAACTGTCCACTTTTAAGAATAGTCCCACATATAACAGCACCCCTATTATTCGATATTCCTACAAATAATGTACCATGTCATTGCCGGTTATTTATGCAACTCATGTTGGGGGGTATAGAACTTATTAATGTTTTTCCGTTTCTTGCTTTTTGTGAAAATTAAGAAATTGGAAACAAATTTGAAGCCGGAAAACAACTATTTTATGTCTGTTCCTTTTAGTTGATTTTTTTTTAATCGCGACTTTTAGCTTCGATTACAAGATATGGGAATTCAGTTCATTTTTAAAATCCGATTACTTTCTTTCTACAGCAAAATCTCTATACTGTGACTGTTGTCATGTCACCCTTTAAATGTATTACATTGTGTCACGTGCCGACATTTTCACGTAAACCAATTACAACCTTTCATAAAAATTTTATTTCCAAGCATTTGTTAAATTTCATTCTCTTTCGGATCATTATATTGAGAAAGAATTATATTAATATTCGAAAAAAACCAAAAACGAAATACTTACCCCATTTAAAGTTTTAACATTGTGCAGGGCATCTTGGGCTTTTAAGGCAGCACGGCGGGTATAAAATGTCACAAAACAACAACCTGCAAAGAAATCAGAAAAAAATACGGAATGAAAAAACACAAATAAAACAAGTGGACCATCAACAAGAAAACGTTGTTCACTGATCCCAAAAAAGAAAAACAACAACAAGTTCTCAAAATAAAGTGGACTAAATAAATGTAATAAAAAGGAATTATGGTTGCAAAAAAAAAAAAAAAAAAATACGGAACGAAAACGTTCAGGAATTTGGTTGTCCTTATTGGTTTTTGTACACTTAGTAGAGGCTTAAAAAATGTTTGCCGCATCAAAAAATAACGTACAACCAACAAAAAGAAAGGAAACCAGCAACAACCACCGCACAAACACACACAAAATTGTATAAAATATTAATATTCAGAAATTTTAAGGGATTCCGACTATACAAAATTTTATATAAAAAAAATTGTGATTGTATGCGTGTGTGTGTCGCCAACTGCGTATAAATAAAGATTGCCGCATAACTATGGCCAAGGCATTTGATGTGTTTTTTTGGTTTAAGTAAACTTAGAAATGTGATCCCACATTGAGGGGTCAATTGAAAAGGTCATTTCGTTTCGGAATTTATGTTTTATTACTTCCACTAAATATTTCCTTAATATCGTTTTAAATCGCCATTTGTAATGCACGAAATTTTCACACAAAATTTATGAACGAAGCGACGAACATCGGCATCGTGATGGTCAAACGGAAATGCCCAAAAAATAAAATTTAATGACATTTGACCCAAGTCATTTGATTTTGTAAAATTCTAAACACGTTTAGGCGATTATTTGGTTATTTTAAATGGATTTTTTTTCTTGGATTTAAAGACCTTTACAGAAAAACTTGATTATGAATAAGTAGCTATGTAGCTAATTAAGTCGCCTTAATTAGGAAAAATCGTTGAAAGGATTAAAGCTGGTAAAAATATTTATAAGCGTAATTGGTGTTGAGTTATGAATTTATATGAGATTATTAATGAAATAGGCATTCTTCCGAAAAAAAATGATAGACAATTTTATGAAAAATGTAAAATTACTTTCAATGTGAATTTAATTTCAGTCAGACACCCGTTCGAAACACACATGGAAGCTATGGCTGAATCCGCACCAATTTCAACAAAACCCAATAACGTCATTCAAGTCTCAATTTGATAGGTTGTGCAAAATTTCGTGTTAATCGGACAAACGTTAGGAGTTTGGTGCACCATTTATGTAAAACCGGACGAAATATATATTTGGAAGGGTCCGTCGAATATGAGCAACCCTGTATATGGGAGCTATATCTAAATCGATTTTTCCCAATTTCAATATGGTTCGTCCTTGGACCACTGTAAAGGACTTTAACAGTGATGGATGTTTACAAATATATTTTATAAGGGACTTTCAAATATATTTTTAAGGGACTCGAAAAGGCGTGGATTTAAAAAATATATATATTTTTCAAGGGAATCGAACAGACTTGGATAAAAAATAATATTTTTAAACAGACTCGAAAAGGTGTGGATTAAAAAAAATATACTTTAAGGGACTCAAACAGGCATGAAATTTATAAAAATATATTTTTTAAGAGAATCTAGCTTGGACTTTTAAAATATATACTTTAAGGGACTCAAAAATGGGTTGATTTTTAACAAATATATTTTAGGGGACTCAAACAGGCATGGTTTTTTGCTACAGCCCTTTTATAAAGGGCACCTTCCAATGTCAGGATTGCTGGGAGCTTAAGCACGATTTTTAACCGTTTTAGGCGCATTTTTCGAAATGGTTGTAATTTGGTTCTGCGTTTCCTTGGAGCTTGTAAAACATATTTGTAGACAATTTTCGATATAGGTCCATGCTTTGGCATAGTCCACATACAGAGGCCCCTCCCAATTGCTTATATTTTTATGGTTTTAGAAGCATTTTCTTACAAAAGTGTCTGAAAAATGATATTCAGTATTTTTGAAGGATGAAAAACAATTGTGCAGAGGTTTTTTGATATAGGTCCATGATTTGACATAGAAATGCGCGTATTTTTAGTTATTATAAAGATGTTTGTCACGTTTCCCCACCGAATATTTTCGCAGGAAAGGGTCTATGTTTTGACACTTGTCTGTGGTTTTTTAAAAACATATTTATATAAAAACATTAAGGGCTGTGTAATTTTTTAAAAAAAAACTATTTCCAAAGAACATCAATCTACAACAATATTTTTAGAGGTGCTTCTATTTATTACCCCACCAAGAACTGGAAATGTTAAATTGCAGCTAATGCGGATAGCATCATACCACAAAACCTAAAGGAAAAATCCTATAAATGGTTCCAGATTGATAGTCTTCATTTACAGACATTGGTCATTTACATACTGGATTTTATATTATTATTGTTCAAAATGTGTTCAGAAACGTTTTAGCCACATTACTTTCCTAATTTTTTATACCCTTTACCACACTGTGGTACAGGGTATTATGTCTTTGTGCATATGTTTGTAACAGGCAAAAATAATCGAGATAGACCCATGGTTCCTTTTGAGAATATGCATAGGATCACTTTCTAAGTCGATTAATGCATGTCCGTCTGTCTGTCTGTACATGTTAAATTGCACACAAAGTACAGGTCGCATTTATGATCCGAATTGGATGAAATTTGGCATAGGTCACTTATTCGGCCCAAGGACGAACCCTATTGAAATTGGGAAAAATCGGTTCAGATTTAGATATAGATCCCATATATATATTTAACCCATTTAATGTAAACGGTCCCTATATACCTTTCGATTTGCACGAAATTTGGTACAGGCTAATCATTTAGGTCTAGAATGTGGTCTGCCAAGTTTCGTGAAAATAGGTCAAGATTTACATATAGCTCTCATATATAGTTTCGTCCGATTTCACGTAAATGGTGCACCAAAGTCCCTATATATCCTTCGATTTGCACGAAAATTGGCATAACGTACTTAATTGAGACTAGAATGAAGTCTACCAAGTTTCATGAAAATCGGTCCTGATTTAGATATAGCTCCCACATATAAATTCGTCCGATTTCATGTAAATGGTGCACCAAAGTCCCTATATATCATTCGATTTGCACGAAATTTGGTACAGTCTAATCATTTAGGTCTAGAATGATGTCTGCCAAGTTTCGTGAAAATAGGTCAAGATTTACATATAGCTCTCATATATAGTTTCGTCCGATTTCACGTAAATGGTGCACCAAAGTTCCTATATATCCTTCGATTTGCACGAAATTTGGTATAACGTACTTAATAGAGACTAGAATGAAGTCTGCCATGTTTCATGAAAATCGGTCCTGATTTAGATATAGCTCCCACAAATAGTTTCGTCCGATTTCATGTAAATGGTGCACCAAAGTCCCTATATATCTGTCGATTTGCACGAAATTTGGCATATCGTACTGAATTGAGCCTAGAGTGATGTCTGCCTTGTTTCGTGAAAATCGGTCCATATTTAGATATAGCTCCCTTTTATTATAGATTGATTTTAAGTAATTGGCGCACCGAGGAACCAATAGGAACAAAACGTTCTGAAATACATACATACCTTATGGATAGATCTAGGTAGATTCACATTTAGATAAATATAACATATTTTATTTCATCCAATTTCATGCTGATAGTCCTGTTTAATATACCCATAGTTGTGAAGGGTATCATATAGTCGGCCCCGTCCGACTTTACTACTTTCCTTTCAGGTTTTTTTCTTGGTTACTATTTCCTAAACTTGAACACATTATCGCTCTCCACAAATTCGAACGATTTTTATTGTTTCACATTTTTTTTTTTTTTCAAAACATACGAAAGAAAATTTTGTAAACAACAATCCTTTCATATCTGTTAGTGTCAGATACATGTATGCTCATTCGTTCGTTTAGTTTTTTTTTCTATTTTCTGAAACAGTAATCCTTAGACTATGTATTTCTTAGTTCATATCTTTCTAAATTCCTTGCAAAGACTCAATAGAGACTAACCCCATTACAGTAGAGATAAACACAGAGAACCCCATTGTCTTTGTATGCTCCCACGCACACACATTCTTACATGCATACCCTGACTAAGAATAGCAGACGGTCTGTCTGCTTGGCTGTTTGGTTGCTTATGCTTGTTTGACTGGCTGGCTATAAGCTCCCATCCTGTTCATATCGATTTGATACTGAATGAACACGTACAGGAAACGAATTAATCGAACTTAAATAAATCAGTATCCCCTGACTTAATATAATACAGATAACAGCAGTATACAAAACTGAAACTACAACACAATGGCCATGGTCATAGCAATAACAATAACAACAAAAACAACATCTGCGACAATACAGCAAAGCACTCACACGCACATAACTAAAATACACTTTTGCACATACAGACACTCTTACACATTGATGATGTACATTGTGCTTGCACGAAGACTTACCAACTGATATCCTGCTATCGTATAGAGTAACTTGTAGTCTTTCACAGCATGTGTTGAATGTGTGTAGGTATGAGTTTATGTGTGTGTGTGTGTCGGTAAGAGTTTAGTATATTTTTTTCTTTACAAGAATATTACAGTTTTGAAGTTGTTGCTCCTTTACGGTTTCCTTCTTCTTATTCTGCTATTATTCTTTTGAACGATCATAATCAATGATGTCCTGTCGGTATGTCTAACGCAGTAAGTGTGAGTAAGTGAAGGGAACAGTAGAATGTGGTTAATTGTATCTCAATTACATCCATACAAAAATATATTTTTATACCCTTCACCACACTGTGGTACAGGGTATTATGTCTTTGTGCATATGTTTGTAACAGGCAAAAATAATCGAGATAGACCCATGGTTTCTTTTGAGAATATACATAGAATCACTTTCTAAGTCGATTTATGCATGTCCGTCCGTCCGTCTGTCCGTCTGTCTGTTCATGTAAAATTGTAAACAAAGTACAGGTCGCATTTATGATCCGAATTGGATGAAATTTGGCATAGGTCACTTATTCGGCCCAAGGACGAACCCTATTGAAATTGGGAAAAATCGGTTCAGATTTAGATATA